GACGTCCTCTTTGCGAAAACGCTGGAAAAACCGTGTTTTTTTTGCGGGAAATACTGGGGAGCAAAGGGGAAGTGCAAGGATACATACATACATACATACATACATTACAGTACAGTACATTACATTACATTACATGACATTACATGACATTACATACATACATACATTACATACATACATACATGCATACATGTATGTAAGCATGCATGCATGCATGCATGCATGCACACATACATACATACGTACATACATTACATGCATTACATTACTTACTTACTTACTTACTTACTTACTTACTCACTACTCACTCACTCACTCACTCACTCACTCACTCACTTACTTACTTACTTACTTACTTACTTGCATACTCACATACATGCATACATACATACATGCATACATACATACATACATGCATGCTTACAGACATACATACATACATACATACATACATGCATGCATGCATACATACATACATTACATACATACATACATACATACATACATTACATACATACATACATACATACATACATCCATCCATACATTGCATACATACCTACACACATACATACATACATTACATACATACATACACACATACATTACATACATACATACACACATGCATTACATACATGCATACATCACATACATACATACATACATTACATACATGCATACCTACATACATACATACATAACATACATTCATACATACATACGTACATACAGGCATGCATGCATGCATACATACATACATTTCATACATACATTACATACATACATACATACATACATACATACATACATACATGCATGCATACATACATACATACATGCATTACATACCTACATACATACATACATACATACATACATACATACATACATACATACATACATACATTACATTACATTAAATTACATTAAATTACATTACATTACATTACAATACATTACATACATACATACATTACATTACATTACATCACACCACATTACATTACATTACATTACATACATACATACATGCATACATACACACATACATACATACATACATGACATACATACATTACATACATACATACATACATACATACATACATTACATACATACATACATACATACACATACATTACATTACATACATACATACATACATACATACATACATACATTACATACATACATACATACATACATACATACATACATACATACATACATACATACATACATACATACATACATACATACATACATACATACATACATACATACATTACATACATACATACATACATACATACATACATACATACATACATACATACATACATACATACATACATACATACATACATACATACATACATACATACATACATACATACATACATACATACATACATACATACATACATACATACATACATACATACATACATACATACATACATACATACATACATACATACATACATACATACATACATACATACATACATACATACATACATACATACATACATACATACATACATACATACATACATACATACATACATACATACATACATACATACATACATACATACATACATACATACATACATACATACACATACATACATATACATACATACATACATACATACATACATACATACATACATACATACATACATACATACATACATACATACATACATACATACATACATACATACATACATACATACATACATACATACATACATACATACATACATACATACATACATACATACATACATACATACATACATACATACATACATTACATTACATTACATACATACATTACATACATACATACATACATACATACATACATACATACATACATACATACATACATACATACATACATACATACATACATACATACATACATACATACATACATACATACATACATACATACATACATACATACATACATACATACATACATACATACATACATACATACATACATACATACATACATACATACATACATACATACATACATACATTACATACATTACATACACATACATACATACATACATACATACATACATACATACATACATACATACATACATACATACATACATACATACATACATACATACATACATACATACATACATACATACATACATACATACATACATACATACATACATACATACATACATACATACATACATACATACATACATACATACATACATACATACATACATACATACATACATACATACATACATACATACATACATACATACATACATACATACATACATACATACATACATACATACATACATACATACATACATACATACATACATACATACATACATACATACATACATACATACATACATACATACACATACATACATACATACATACATACATACATACATACATACATACATACATACATTACATACATACATACATACATACATACATACATACATACATACATTACATTACATTACATTACATTACATACATTACATTACATTACATTACATTACATTACATACATACATACATACATACATACATACATACATACATACATACATACATACATACATACATACATACATACATACATACATACATACATACATACATACATGCATACATACATACATACATACATACATACATACATACATACATACATACATACATACATACATACATACATACATACATACATACATACATTACATTACATTACATTACATTACATTACATTACATTACATTACATTACATTACATTACATTACATTACATTACATTACATTACATTACATTACATTACATTACATTACATTACATTACATACATACATTACATTACATTACATTACATTACATTACATTACATTACATACATTACATACATACATACATACATACATACATACATACATACATACATACATACATACATACATACATACATACATACATACATACATACATACATACATACATACATACATACATACATACATACATACATACATACATACATACATACATACATACATACATACATACATACATACATACATACATACATACATACATACATACATACATACATACATACATACATACATACATACATACATACATACATACATACATACATACATACATACATACATACATACATACATACATACATACATACATACATACATACATACATACATACATACATACATACATACATACATACATACATACATACATACATTACATACATACATACATACATACATACATACATACATACATACATACATACATACATACATACATACATACATACATACATACATACATACATACATACATTACATACATACATACATACATACATACATACATACATACATACATACATACATACATACATACATACATACATACATACATACATACATACATACATACATACATACATACATACATACATACATACATACATACATACATACATACATTACATACATACATACATACATACATACATACATACATACATACATACATACATTACATACATACATACATACATACATACATACATACATACATACATACATACATACATACATACATACATACATACATACATACACATACATACATACATACATACATACATACATACATACATACATACATACATACATACATACATACATACATACATACATACATACATACATACATACATACATACATACATACATACATACATACATACATACATACATACATACATACATACATACATACATACATACATACATACATACATACATACATACATACATACATACATACATACATACATACATACATACATACATACATACATACATACATATGTACATGCATGCATACATACGAGAGAGGGAGAGTGGGGAGAGAGAGGCTTGGGGGGATGGGGCGGATGGGAGCAGAGGGAGGGAGAGAGGACAACAGAACACACAAGGGAGACAAGGAAGAGAGGAAGAAGGAGAAAAGGGAGAGGACAATGTCGGCGGACTGAGCCGGAGGCTCTAAAGTATATATATATATATGTGTGTGTGTTGCCTGCCAACACTTCCCACGATTGCTAGCAATGGAAGATATTAATGCAAGGGAAAGGAATGGAAAGAGATGAGAGAGAAACATATGTGGCAATCTTTTCAAGCTAGAACTGCTTAAACATGATATAGCTTTGTCACTCCTTTGTCTCTCTTTCATATCTTCTCTATCTCACATCCCACCGAGCCTATGAAGAGAGGGAAAGAGCTAGCCATTTCCTATCTCCTCTTTTCCCCAGCTCTTTCATATCTTTCTTTCTTCATTTTCCTTTCTCCTCTCTTCCCCAGAGCGAAGCCTGGAACGGGAGAGGAGGTGAGAGGAGAAAGGATGGCCATCATCTCGTTCATTTGTCGCTCCCCAGCCTCTTGTTCTCTTCGCTGGCTTTGTATGAATGACATAACAGGATCTTCTCTCTATCTCTCCCTTCCTTCTCTCCTCAGATTTTCTCGCATCGAATGCAGTGAGAGAAGATAGTGTCTGGTCATGGTCTGGATCTTAATAAGAAGAGTGGCCGATGGTGGGCGCAAGTGTCGCAGGTTTTTGCATGCTTGTTGCAAACATGGGCTGAGGGATTAGATTTGGGAATTCTCCTGCGCCTGGGTGTTAGCATAAGAAGGCAGGGACATGGGAGATAGGTTTAGGTGAGTCTCTGGATTTATTTGCAATTACAAGGAAAGGGACTCACTCACCCATTGGCCCATGGCACCTCTTCTCCCTTTCTCTTGCCCCGGTTTCGCTTGCTTTACGATCTTGGACTTATCCCAGGAAACTAAACGTTGCAGATGCAAAATCCCAAGCCAACACTTTGCGGCAAGCGCCTTGAGCATGGATCCCGAGAGCATCGACTCCAGCGCTCAAATAGTTTTCGAGGCGAGAATCTGGTGCCATACTTTGCTGGCGTGTGAAACCCCGAGGCCCTGAGAACTCAGAACCAGACAGAGTGTGACTGAGGCCTTAGCTTTGATTCGCTTCAGCATCGATGTTCGATCGACGAGGTCATGACTTTTCCAACCACAGCACTGTGAGGACGTGGATGAACAAATCCTCGCGGGCGTCCGGCTCGACAAAGGCTCCGAGCTGCCGGAACAAAATGTCCATGCCAGAATTGCTTCGTGATCGAACACCTGGGTGTCATTGTTTGGAGGGTACCTTCTTTTTGGCAGTTGCAAAGGGAAACTGAAAGGGAAACCACATGTTGTTGGGGGGGTGAAAAAGAGAGACACACACACACACACACACTTCTGCCTTCATGCTACCTGTATTCAGGCCATGGGAGACATGTTGGTCGACTGCTACCATTGCTCGAGTCCTTTGCAGCTTCAGATTCCTCCAGGAAACATATCTCTCTGGAAGATTGCGCCGCATCATCATCGCGGTACCTGGATCAAAGTGAACAAAGTGAACAGAGTGAGACAAAGCTTCAAAGCTGCATATGGGCGTGTCTTGCAAAAGGGGACCCAAAAAAAGGTGGCTTTCCGTTTGGTGACCCTTTACAGTCACCCTACTCGCAAAAAAAAGGAACAACACCCATAGGCCCATATGACTGCAGGCGCACTTGAGCAGTACTCCACACTTCTTTTCCATCTCCGTGAGGTGACTCTCCCACTGGCGACAGCTGGCTGCATGTGTTTCTTAGGTCAAGGCATGGTGAGTCACATGCCTGGGTGATTTGCATCATGCCATCCGTCAGAGCGCATATGGCCTGTCATCCAACTGCATCGCATGGACCGGCATTGTGAGGACATGCAACAGCCTGGATGGCATCCATCATGATCACCACACAGGAAATGTCCTTCCCGCCGGGTAAGAATGACCTTGGATCTAGCATTGCTAGCAGCGTATGCTCGAGTGTCGGAACAAGACAACTCATACAGGCGCTGCAGGCACGGATATCTATGCACCGGGCAAGGCCGAGTGATTGTGGTCCAAGTAGTACCTGGCTGCAATGGAGGCTCCTCAATGGGTAACTTGTCTGGGAAGCCGCACTTGGCTGGAACTCGGCTAATTGCCACCACCTCAGACAGTCATGGCGTCTCAACGCAACAGCAATGACGCGCGAGCCTCCTCGCTCAGCAACATTGTGGCATATCGGCCTTGAACGGCTGAGCTCAGCCATGCCTGCAGGGCACAAATGATGCAAAAGCTGCACACATGCAGCTTGGACGTGCTAAGTCGCAAGGCTTGACAGGAGCAAGTAGGACTAGATGGAAAGTTCAAAAGCCATGCCGATGCCATCTGCACAAAACCCCAATCTGTTCATATACCAAGCTGTCTGTGAGACATGAATCTGGTCTATCTGCGTGTATGTCATCTAGACTGTTAAAGGATGCATTCATCACAGAGCCTCCAACAAAGCTGTGCGCCGCTCCAGGTGCAAAGATTGTGTCAAAGAACAGTTTGAAGAGAAGCGCAGAGTGCTATATTCCCTCAAGCGTTGAACATTCAAGTTCAGCATGCAAAGGTCAGCGGAAAGCCGATGGGAGCCAGCCATCAGCTGGAATCTGGAAGGGCGCAACCAGTGCAGCGCCCCCCCAACCTCGACAAAAGGGGTAGTTGAAAAACACATACAGCACGTTATTCAGCCATGACCAGGACATCTTGGCCTGAGGAGCCGCATTTGAACATTATATGAAGGGCATGTGCAAGCCCAAGCAAACACAAACAAAGAGCGCTGAAATCACGCAATGTGCGGAGAAATCAGATGATCCAAATGCCAACTCAAGCATGTCTGGCTTTGCTGAGTCGCAAGATGAGTACAGAAATGCAACGTTGTTCGATACTACCTAAAGTAGATTAGACTTTGCAACGGCATAGGGCATGGTTTTCGTTCACACTCAAAAAGTGATCAGCCGCCTGTCGCTCAAGCAGCTGTCGGCGAGTGTTCATGCGAGCAGTGTGGACCTTGGTTTACACACTCGAATGCTGAATCGTACTAATTTCCCAGGTGCGCACCAGCGTGTTAGAGTATCGCTCTTGAGAGCGTGCAGTGTCCACCGTCTCGCACAACTCATACCGCACCTGAGCCCACAAGACCGAACACACAATTCCACCCGTCAGCAACATGCGAGCTAAGAGGGTCACTGGAGAGTAGTTCAGAGTCTGCATGCTGACTGCTTGCCCGTCAACCTTTGCTCCAGTAGTGGATTGTAAAAGCCAAGTAGGAACAAATGTGGCTGTGGATCAAAAGTGGGTACCCAAAATGGAAACCTGGCAAATTAAACCATTGACTCAAACCTGCGGCCCCCTAGTGGTGTAATTTTGACCCATACCCGTGGGTGCCTCGTACATCACTGGCCGTTCTTCAGCGCCGTCGTCGATAATGAGATGCGCTGCGTGAGTAGAACTGACAGCTCTGCAAGAAGATGCTTTAACAAAATTTGATTCTGCACACCGCCTGTCAGTCCAGTGGACTCGCTCATGTAAACATTCATCCTGCCAATTCGGAGTTGCAATGAGCCGCAAGTGTGCCAGCCACCCCCACTGCCTTATCAACGTCGCATCTGAACTGGGTGACGCCAGTTCTGATTTCACCATCGCACCTTCCATTTTGAAGCAACGATCTGCTGTGCAAGAATCATGGAAACCGGAGTGGTGTGTACCCCAACATTTTCTGCAAAGCACCTCTTTCCGATCTGCTCTTGCTGGCAGCATTGAACAGGCCTGGCACAGGAACCACGCGGCCGTTTAAAGCCTGTTCAAGCTGGAGGCCGGAGGAAGAGACCCACGGGGCCCTGGCACTTGTCCCATTACACATTGATTCCACTTGGACCAGCTACGCTCCCTGGGCCGTCTACCTCTACCGAGCGCTGGAGCCGAGAAGGCAAAACCAACCTCAGCTCAGGTGGCTCCAGTGTCAGGCGGGCAAGTGACCTGACACAGCGTCACTTGCACTGGGACGGGGCAAGGGCTCTTCTTTTTGCAGAGAGATATGGAATTGCTATATTTGGGCTTCATGAGATATGGAGTTGCCACGGTAGCGCAAGCCTCCCTCGAAAGTACACCTTGCCCACAGCTCACAGGCTACGAGGCCGCAAGGCACGACCTCAGCAAAGTCTCTGCTATGGCTTCTAGGTGCACACACATGCCACACTGGTATTTAAAGGGCAGCCCCCTCCCACAAGGAATCTGAAGGATTTGGCTTTGACCAAGTTATTTGTAGTTTTGGAAGCGGGCAATTTTGATTTTGTCCTCGCAGTGTTAGTGTCTGAAGCCGATGCTTCGAGTTTGTGCATTGGGAAAATTGTGATTTTGAACAGGATATTCTTGGTCTGTGAACTGAGAGAGGGAGCCTAGTACGTCGCAAGTCCGAAAGCATGCGAAGTGCACAGGGTTTTTCACCAAGGGCACTTGGACACAAGTCTTTTGCCACATAGAGCAGGATGACTGTGAGCAAGATACGCATGAGCAAGACCAACTTGCGCTGACGCAAATGAGCAAGACACAGCAAAGCAAGACTCAAAATGAGAAGCACGTGGGCAAAGCTACACTTGAAGCCGCATGTGAGAAAGAGTTGCCTGCTTTTGCACTACACATTTGGCTGTGGGTCAAAATTAAACCATCATGGGACCACAGGTTTAGTCCATGTTTCCATTTACCACGGTTTCCAATTTGGGTACATATTCTTGACCTACTGCCGTTTCACGCAGTTGCACTTGAGTACCGCTGTCTTCGTTGAAGCACCCGCAGGTCAGAGAAACGCAGCCCAAAGACACAAGGATGCCCCGAAGGATGTTCAGCACATCTTTCACTTCGAGCCAGGCCCCCTTTGCGTGAAAATGTGAAAAATGGTCACAATCACAATCCACATCTAAACTTCGTGGCTGCGTGGGGCCCTCGAGCTAGACGTAGCTCCGCTACCAGTTTGAAGGCAGCATCCGACACGTGATCTCCTTGTCGGCACCTTGCCACTGACCAAACTGGAAACACCTTAGGTGTCATGCATGCTCTCGCGGCACCTACAAAACCCAGTTTCACTAAACTTCTTTGCCTAAGCTGAACATCCCTGGCGCTCACTCGAAGAACATCTTTGGTTGTTAAAAGACTCTTTTGCCTGGGATTCGTCGGGATGGTCATTAACCCCTCAATGGGATGCTAGACCGCCATCGTGGGTCCGGTTGAGGGCACCGTGGACAAAAATGAAGATCTTCGAGGGCGCACGCGAAGCCATCTCTACATTCTCCTCACATCCCCAACCCTCCACGCACTTGTGACACGCGCCCCAAATCCATGCTCCAGCTGCCTCCAGCCCCTCTGAAGCGAGCCCCAGAGGTCATCGGCGCAGGCCATCACAAAAAATCCAGCTGCTTGACTGCGCCTGCCCACTTTGCGCTCCAGCGCCAGTTCCCAGCTCTGGCCCTATGCCCCAGCCCCTAGCTGCACCGTCGGGTGGAGTGAAGAAAATGATCATCACTTTGATAAGAAATGTTGCTTTTCTGCCCGTTTGTATTCCTGCGCAGCACTACGGCTGACGCAAGCTCCTTCTCCACACTTCGCTGCTGTCAGCCCGTCGCCCCTTGGGCTTCGCCAACCAGGGGTCAGCCCCCGAGACCGAAGCCATTGGGCTGAGGGGGCTACGCTGAGGTCCTGCTTCACTTCGCCCAAGCCTCTAGCAGCTTCCACCCCCTGAACCTGGGGCCATGAGCCATGTGAACATGCACTCACCATATATGGAAAACAGCTCACGCATTTCGGGGCCGACTCATCACTCACTGACTCACTCACTCAACAAACACAACACATCAAGGCAAACCAACAACTAGTACTTCAAAGTCAACCAAAAGAATGCTGGTCGACTCGGGCAGCGCGAAGCGCTGCAAGTATAAAGCGACTGTTCTATTATGTCCCACGTCCCGGCCCGGAAATAATAGAACAGGCTGTTGGATTATTTCCCACGTCCCGGAAGCAGTAAAAGAGGCAGTCTTATTATTTCCCACATGGCGGAAATACTAAAAGAGGCTTGTCTATTGCGTCTTCTTGTGCTTCCTGAAATCTGTCCAACAATCTGCAGTCAATCACTTTAATTTTGAACATGTGGCAGCATGGGATGATTCACTCGATGATAGAGCTTCTGCAAAACATATTGGACAGCCAGCAGGGTCTTGAGGCGAAGACTGCAGCCTGCGTCGATGGAATGCATGCAGAGAGGGCAGCGCTTGTTGCGTCGAAGCCTCAGACACAAGATCACAGAATCTAAACTGTTGCTTTGAACATCTCAAATTGTGAACGACGCTCAACATCAGGCAGCAAAACCACTCTGGTGTGATCGCAGTTGAGTGTTGCGGTGAAGTTGCAGGCTCACTGTTTGCATTGGCAATCTACCTTCAGAATCCGACTACAAATCATTGCGGTGTCTCATCAATGCAAGGAGGCAACCACTTGTCTATGCAATGACGATGGAAATGATGTCCACAGGGTAACCTGGCAATCAAAGGCATTGCAGAGCTGCGGCTCGTGTCTAGCGGCCTTCGCAGAAGGACTCCATCGCAAAAGCCAGACAGGCAAATCGAGCAAGGCTCCTTAGCGGTCAGGACTCCCAGCAAGCTCAAGGGCTAAGACTCTGCCCAGCCACCGGTTCTTCACCTTCGGCAAAACGGAACGCTGGCAAGGCAGTGATCTGCGCGTTGGTGGCCTCAAAGCCAGCAGCCTAAGCGCACCTGTATCTACCAAAACTGAGATGCGGACTGCAACAGCAGCTGGCGCCTTAGAGGTCTTTTTCAGGCTCATCAAGCGTTTAACACAAAAAGATGATAAAACTCCCAGCGCCGTCAAGTGGGTATGGATCAAAAACCCGTACCCCCAGTGAACATCCCAATCCCCACAAAAATAGACTAAAATGGGTGATGCACCTACCCCAAAATGGTACCATTGGTTTTGACCCACAGCCAAGTAGCCTTGTCCGGTGCGTCTTCATTGCCGAAACAAGCCCTGAAGATGCAAATAGCAGCGCCAGCGCGTAAGGCTGACAAAGCCATGACCTTGCATCGGGGGCAGAACATGTTCACCCGAATCAAACGCCATTCTCGAAACAAAGGTACACCTTTTTGTGTGTGATTCTACTTCAAGCCATTTAATTTCACAGCTGACTTCAATGAAATGGCTGGCTGGACATCAAAGGCGTTTTGCCAGACTTTTCTTCGCTTGTCGATCATGCTACTTGGTGCGTTTGTATCGCTCAGCTTCACTCGCAAGCTGCTCCCCTGCTTGCAGCTTGTTTGAGTTGGACAGCTGTCCATTGATGCACTTCGAAGACCCTTGTCTTGCAGTAATGGCAAAGTTATGATGCTTCATAATTTCTGTTTCTGCGGCTTGAACGCAGCATCACCATGATAGGTAATCTCTGCTCTGTATAGCTGAGGTTGCTGTAACAGTCGTTCCACAAGCCCAGGAGATGAAATGAACAAAGAACCTCATGCCGGCCGCAGGATTGAATCGTGTCCATTTCAGTGCCCGGTCAGCTGTAGGGATTGCGAATGGTCAATTCACTTCAATTTGATATTTGATGCTGTTCCGACTCTCTCTCTCTCTGGTTGCCTTGTTCTGCTTGCTGCTTCTGTTCTCAATTTCCTGTGCTCCATCTTTCGGTTCACCAGCATGCTTCTCGCTGCACTGCTATTACACAATTGCTGCCACTGGTCCTTGCAATGCAAGATCTTGTTGATTCCATGGACCAAACCAAGTGCAGCGCGAGTCTGGGTGTAGCTGTTTCTCACTCGTTCTCAGTTGCAAGTGCAAACTTCACGCAAAAGTCTGCTGAGGGCCCCAGCAGCTGCCATCAATCTCGAAGCTGCAGGACAGTCAGGGCAAACATCGGTGTGCATCCACCAAACCATGCCCAGCACAAACCAGCCGTACCTGGGCTCTGTGGGAAGAAGCCCCGAGATGCGCTCAAGCGCGCAAGCTGAGCGCCACGGCTGGAAGACTGCAACCTTCTTACTCATTTGCCACGCCTGACACAAAGCCACCACCCCTTTGCATGCGCGGAGTCACACCTGCGACGAGGTCAGCGAGGCAATGCGTTCCTGGTCCGAAAGCTGCGCTTAGCAGCTTCTTTTGCTCGTTGACCGACACGCGTTGAATGAATGAGGCTTCGGCCTGCAAATCGCTGCCAAGCTCCTGTTGGCTAGGGCAGGCAAGTTGCCATTTCAGGCAAACACTTCCAGCAGCTCGGATTCGGTGCATTCGGTGCATTCTTCACTCATGCTCATGCCGATTCAGGTGAGCCCATGTTTGCTGTGACGACATCGCCGGACCTCGGCCCTGCGCATGCTATGCAGCAAGACCACGCGAACAGGCCTCATGGCCAGTCCGGTCCAGCGGCTTCTCGTCTCGTCTCTCTGAGCTTCACGCAGCTGACAAAGTTGCAGCACAGCCTGTACCAACAGCCACCACCTGACATGCAGACCCAGAAAAAAGAAGAAAAACAAACTCTCCTGACGGAACAGGGAAAGGAAAAATGACTTCCCTTCGAGCAATCCCCGAGCTTACGACCCCACATAAAATCTAACAACCCCTTCCTGTCGGGTGGGGAAAAAGAAGACGACCCCACCTCAGCGGTCTGTCGCAGCTTGCACAATTTCCCCAGTGTAACCACAAGAAGGCCTCGGTTGACATCGGCCGAAATGCTTCGCAGGCTGATAGCTTGACAGCGGCATATAAGGCTTGAGCGCCACAGCATGTTGCAGACACCATGTTGCCAATAGCACCTTACATGTTTGTTAGGTCCACATATCAAACTCGTGCCTTTGCTCCCAGAAAACTGAGAGCGCTGCCACAACACCAAAACATCTCTGAGACCGAGGCTAAACCAGGAAATTGTGCGAAGGAGGGTGGAGGCAGCAGCGGGATTTCGCCGCACAATCTGCATTCATGCTCGAAAAGCACGTGCCCTAAAACCTAATGAGAGCCATTCAGCGAGCATCCCTGACACATACCATGACTGAATGCTGTACATCTTATAGCTTAAGTGCAACAATCCCAAGCTGCTTGGTACTTGCAGCCCTTTTGAAGATGCAAGGCTGCAGATCTGCAAGTGCTGCTCTGAAGGCTTTGCAAGGCCAGAGGTCTTGTCATTTTGCGATGACCGAGTGATGAAATGGGGTGAGCTCTGGGAGCTCAAATAAATCTCAACTTGAGGTCTAAAGAACTCATGGCAAAGCCAGCAAGAAACGCGAGGACAAGAGCTAGAGCTCCTGTCGACGCGAGCTTGATGCCCGAAGTCGTCTGACCAAATCCTAGTGTTAGCGGGTCCTTCCCAGGGAAAACGCGGGTAACCAGAATGGGGACAGACCAGCTTAGGATTTGGACGAGCCACTCTCCTTGCATCTTGCGTGTGTCTTGCCTCGCTCAGTTTCTTGCTTGCGTTGCTTGCCTGCGCTTGCTTCTTGCGTCGCGTACTTTTGGCAAACACCCCAAGCATTTCACTCCCTACGGTGCGTTTGCTTCCCGATGGCATTTTTCGATCTCGGGCATGTAGCGGCAAGCATGCACACATGCCGAAATGCGAGCCATGTTGGACCAGCCTCCACCAAGTTGTCTGGAGCTGTCTCAGCACCATTCCCAAAAAAGAAGGCGCTGGTTCTCTCTGTTACTCGTCTCCTTAGTCAGATGCTACTCTCTGCGCGCTGTTGCCTGTCTCGTGAGCAGCTGGCAAGGCCTGCTGGAGCACGTTATCTTTGGATGAAAGCCTCAACACTGGCAAAAACCATCACACAAATCTCTCTCTCTAGAAGCATGAGGCACGCGCGCTTGCACCCGTGACTCACAAAGTGGATTTGATAAACTCGCAAACATGCGGAGTTGCCTCAGTATGTGCGATTCGGCTGACACGCGGGCATGCAAACACACACACACACACACACAAACGCACACACACACACACACAAAGGCACATGCACATCTGTCCATCTGTGCTACACGTTGAGTACAAATATAACAGGGTAAGGCCGTGGCATTTTTGCAAAATACAGAGTTGGCAGAGTCAAAAGCAATGCTGGTGTGGCTCACAAGTTTGAGCCCACTGAAAGCAGTGAAAGAAACCCAGAGCATAAATTCTGGATAAGCAAAACGATGGTTCTCAGGATGGCACAAGTAATATGCTGCCTATGTTCGGATTCTTTTGACGCCCGCACTGCACCTTGAAGATCACGTGCATTGACTCGGTGTGAAACCCTGCTTTCATAAACCAGCGCCGCGAAGTCATGATGCACTGGACAGATCCGTGATCCGCTGATCCGAATGGGTCATCGCCGCCTGGCCTTGGGTCTCACCACATGCTCAAGGCTCATCAAAAGCGACTTGAGGCCAGAGCTGCAGGCAACTTGATGGTCTTAATCTGTGAGTGGAGCTTATCGGCCATGTTCTGGTACCTACAGAGCTCGAAAACGGTCTCGAGACAAAGACGAAGGCTAAGAACCCGGACCGTTCTCTTTGGCTATCAGGCAGCTCTCTGTCTTGCAGCTTGGTCAGAATCGTCCTGGGATTTGCATGGCTTGCCTCTGTCTTTTAGGGTACATATGGCTGTGGCTCAAAACCAATGGTACCATTTTGGGGTAGGTGAATTCACCCCCGATTTTAGAACCTATTTTAGTGGGGATTGGGATGTTCGCTGGGGGTACGGTTTGGATTTTTACCCATGGCTTTTTTCCTTTTTGGGGTAGGGGGGTTCAAAAGGAATCCACGCTGAGGCCAGGCGCTGCAAGGTCTTCGTCAGTTCTCCCAGGAGCTGGACCTATCGACCGCCCGGAACTGCCCGCCCGAAATCCACCGCCCGACCGAAACCGCCCGAAACGCCGCGCCTGCTGCGCCTCCGCGGTGTACGGTGGCGGCGTGTTGAAAGGTACGCGGGAGACGGCCGCCTCGAAAGCCGTCGAGTGGGCCTTCTCCTTTTTTGGAGGACCCCCCAAAAAATGGCGTGTTTTTTTGGGTATTTTGGTGCTCCTGCCAAAAAAAACACAAGACAAGGAACGGTGCTCTTTTCGGTGCTCCTGCAAAAACACACACACACACACACACACACAAACGGGATACCAACTCCCAAGTTACCCGCCCGAGCGCACACTTCTCTCCCGGCAGCTCAGCGCCTTCACGGGACTGACGGGAGCCTTTGGTGGCGGCGACGTTGGCGCAGTGTCGAAGTTGGGATTGGGCTGCAGCACCACGCGGCTGGTCACAGCTACGTGTGGGCCTCGTGCAAACTGCTTCCCAAAGCAAGGTCTCACACGACGTTGCAAAAATGTCACATTGCTGTCAGATACCCTGCCTGACTGTTGGTGGGAAAAATGGAAGCTACCACCAAACTCCTTAAACCTAAAACCTACAGGGCTGGGCACCGAGATTGGTGTATGGGCACCTTGGACTCCCAAAAAAAAGGAAGTGCACTTGAGGCAGCCGCCCTGGCGGACAGTCTTTGGTCCAGCCTGGCACTTGCGTCTCAACCCCGAGCTGAGGGGCAAAAAAACAAAAACAGGTATGGGTCAGCATTAAACCACCGGCGGACCGCAGGTTTTGTCCATGTTTCCACTTACCAGCGCAACCCAGTTTGGGGGTATCCTATTTTTGACCCACAGCCAAACACCCAAATCGCCTCAACCGGCTTGGCCAGCGCGCGCGAAAACCTACCGTTCGCTTCCGGAGCAGGTCCTGAGCACCAAAAGCTGGGCGAGCACATGCCGTGGTCAAAACTCCTATATTTGGCCGATTGGGTTTAGGGTTTAGGGTTTAGGGTGTAGGGTTTAGGGTTTAGGGTTTATGGTTCCCTGGATAGCAATCATTAAGGCTATTCAGGATCCTGACCACCATCCCTGTTACAAAGGTGTCTTTTGACCATGGCGCACATGGCATTGCACAGAAAGACGTACTGTGGATGGACAACATCCTGCAGCACCGTTCAGAAACCCTGGAACGATTTGACTCCCGGGTAAGTACACAAAACAACAACTTTATGTGTTCGGTGCGAGATGGTTCGAAACCATCCATCTGAGGGCTTTTGTATTACACCCTGGGATTACACCCTTGGGAAATGACCCAGAATGGTTCCAAAGAACACGGTTTTATCCGGAAACGTGCCTAAATGGGGTCAATACCCAGTGGGTGTATTCGCAGGCTGTACTACAAAAACCCTTAGACTCCACCAGACTTTTCATGCAGCGCTAAGGACCCAGCCCCAGAAATCAACTTGCGGCGCACCTGGCGTGCGCCAATTCACCAGCCGAGTTCGATTCACCCGGCCTTTGGTTGGCTGCAATCTGACGGGCTTCAATGGCCTTAACTCCCGCGCATGGTCAATGTGTCCAAAACTTCAGGTGATCCATTGTGGTTTTCCTTCAAACCAAAATTGGGTACAGAGCCTCGAAAAGACACTCAAAGGGTTGCTAGGCACTACATAGTATGTCATTCCCTTATTTATTTTTGACCAGGGGTTACACAGGTTTTGGCCCATGTTTCCACTTACCAGGGTTCCATTTTGGTACCATTGGTTTTGACCCACACCCAAATCGTAACCCAACTCCGGACCTCTGCGGCTCTCCCTCAATTCCTGCAGTTCAAGCTGCTGCCCACCAGGGACAAAGGTCCACTTGCTCTCCTGCGCCAAACTGAGCAAACTGAGCAAGCAAGCAAGCAAACCAGCATGAACCCAGCCAGCCAGCCACCACCCAGAAATTTGGTTGACGTTGGAAAGGGAGCAAAAATGTATTTCTTCAGCGGTTATGTGGGGATTCCCACTAAGCCAGAATAAGCAAAAATGTAAAATGGTTCCCAACAACAACCATGGAAAGACACATCAGAGCCTCAAGGAATTCCTGCAAAGTATGTTGTGTTCAAAACAACGCCCGGTTACAAATCGATGCTTTCCTCTACCCAGCGCACAAAGGAGTCGAGCAGCGCCTGGCAAAATGTTCAACCCAAGTCTGAATCTCTTCACCAACTGGGCTGTCCGTGTTCAGATCCTTTGCTGAAAGTGTTTAACTTTTTCGTGGGTGAAATGGAAACCAGCACCAAACCCCCAAAAAACCTGAGGATAAAAAAAAAGGGAGCCCGCCGGCCGGGAAGCGAAGAGCCAAGCCAGGCCTTGTCCGAAAAGAACGCCTCCAGCTCACCGGACAGGTGATCCGAACCTCCGGTTCGAGGTCTTTGGCCCGGGGCTCAAACACAAAAGAAACACCCGGCACGGGGCCTTTGTTCATTTGGGCCAGCACGACGATGTACTCCGCCAAGACCTGCGCTGTTCGCTCTTTGCCGAAGTATATCCCCCCCCCCAAAAAAAAAAAAACGAGCCTAAGGACGGACCCAGTTTTGGGGGTGATTTTAGCGAGAAGGCCAAAGAAGACAACCCAT